CACTAAAAGAACTAATTATTAGGAATGCTAGGAATCGTATGAACTCGTAATTAGGGATAGGCCTTCTTGCAAGGTAATTTAGAGAGTGGCATTAACAATGATGAAAAGAATGTTGAATTCCTAAAGTATATGAGAGTGGATAAGATGAAATTGATAACCCCAACAACATACTCATTCATATATTCCATTGAAGTGTTTGTATTTTGTTTTAGCCATTGATCACATTCATGCATATATGTTTATTTTCTGTTTTGCATATTAAACTTCACTTATTTCGTTCTTAAGTCTTAAATAATCAACAAATCACATAACTAAACTAGGCCGTGAGTCCTTTGGGAGAACGATACTTGGTCTTACCGAGTTTATTACTTGATACGATTCGGTCACACTTGCCGGTTGTTCAACAAGTTTGTGGTACCGTTTTTCGGTGTTCATAAATTTGTCATCAAGTTTTTGGCGCCGTTGCCGGGGATTCATGGTTTAACTGGTTAATTTGTGTGATTATTGATTATCTTTGACTTTAATTTTGAATTTCTGTTTTTATTTTTTCTGTTTTTGTTTTATTTTATTTTATTCTCTGAATCTTATATCTTCTCCTATATCTTTTTGTGCTAACCAAATATTCTAGGGTTTTGTGTTCTTGTGTATGCAGGAGACAATTCGAACTAGGAGCAAGATAACTGCAGAACTAGGAGCAAGATAACTTTCTTGCAAATGACATTGATAAACAAACTCAAACATGTGAGAATACCTCTAACAAAAGCAGGTAATATGGCTCGATTAGCTACTGGTAAAATTTGTTGCATTAAGACATGACAAGCGTAAGGCTTTAAACCAACTAACTTTAAATCTTGCATAGAAACAAGGCTACTAATATTCGATGAATAACCTTGTGGAACCTTCACACTATGAATAACCTTGTGGAACCTTCACACTATGTATACATTGACAAACAATTTTCTTTTATTTTTTTGAAAGAGTGTGACAAGCTGGAGGAAGATAGGTGTGTCTTCCTATGGATTGCGGATGTAACTCAGAACGGATTCCCATGTCAACCAAGTCTTGTCATGCTTTCACTTCATCTTTTGTTTTTTCTTTTACGTTTAGTAAAGTCCTAACAACACTATCACATACATTTTTTTCAACATGCATCACGTCTATGCAATGTTGCACATCAAGTTTACACCAATATGGAAGCTTAAAAAATATTGATCGCTTTTTCTAAATATTTTTCTCAATGGTCTTCTTTTTATGTTTTTCGAAGACAACATCAATGTTCCTCACCTGGTTGTATACTTCTTCCCATTACGGGGTCTGGACATTACATCATCTTCAGGACTTCCATTAAATGCTTTTTTCAATCTACGATAAAGGTGATTTCGAGGAAAGAATCTTCAATGTTTTATGTACATAGTTTTCTGTCCATGCTTCAGTTGAAGATAACTAGTATTTTCTTCACAAATCGGACATGCATAATGACCTTTAACATTGTAACCACTCAAGTTCCCATATGTTGGGAAATCATTTATGGTGCAAAACAACATTGCACGTCACCGGTCATTGTTAACGTTGGTTGTTCTGTTATTGGATGTTGAACGCGTGACGTTATACACAATTTTTGTCCTAGTGTGTTGTCGTTCAATCTACCACCCTTCACTCCTCCTTCTCTTTCACTTTCTACTCTTCCTCTTGCCCTTCATTTTTTCTTCTCTTCCTTTGTCCTTGTTGCTATTATCATCACCACCTTCTCTTCCTCTTCCTCCTCTTTCTTCTTTTTCTTTTTCTCTTATTTTTTTTCTTTCTCATCTCTATTTCATTTATAGCACACTCTTTGTCAGATTTTGCAAGAAAATCAATGCTAATTCTATAGACGAATTTATCAAAGAATTCTAAAAATCTAATTGTTGACCAATTTATCAACAAATATTAATAAAATTAATTATCGATAAAATTTTCAAAAAATTAATTATTGAAGAATTTACCATCAGATTTTAAAAAAATCATTATCAATAGATTTTACCACAACATGGACAAAGTTAAAGAAAAACTTTGACACTCATTCTATCTAATTTTTTACCAACAAAGATATTCGTCGATAATAAAAATTTTACAAACGACACATGATATATTATCTACAAAAATAATTATCAATAATTACAATTTTATAGATGCAGTGTATATTTTATTGGTAAATTTTATTTTATCAATAAATTTTTATCAGTAAAAATTATTTTATTGACGAATTTTGTCGATAATATAATTTTTTTTAACTTAAGATTTTGCATTTATTAATAGAGAACAACTAATGTTTCATGAAACTCTATGAATCTCAAACCCTCATGTACAAAATCATACTCCCTTTGAGAATATTTTCTAAAATTAACTTCTAATTACCTTATATTACGACTTAAACCGTTAAGGTAAACATAAGGTCTAGTTAGAAATTATTCATGCCCATAGGCTCAAATTAAGGTAAAAGTCATGTAACAAAATAAATAAGTGATATTTCCAAATATGACAATCTATTGGTTACACTCTAGTTACATATTTATTCGTAAGCTAACTATAGAAAAAGCAGAAGTCTTGTTTATCATTGTAAGAACATTATAATAATAATTTATATTTTTCAATTTCTATCGTTTTTGTCATTACTAGGTGAAATACTCGGTACAACCATGGCTGTGGAATGAAGTCCAAGAGACTCTCGTGCCATGGCTGTTGAAACCTCTCCACAAGCTTCAACCATACTTTCTGTCTCTTTTTCTTTTCCCCACAAAAATGAGTACAACCCCGTCAGGATCAAAATCATGCCCACCAAGCTGCAAATAAGTTTCAATTTTTCATTAATCACTTTCAGAGATGCATAAAAATAATACTGCCATTGTGTTGTTGAAGGAAAAGCATTCACTCATACATGCCAAGACTGATCGGTTCACCAAGTAAGATAGCTTCTGATATGGTCACAAAAATAAGAGCCAATGGATTGAACATTGTGGGATAAGTCGGTCCTTTGATTGAAATTGCCCAATAAATTAAGCAAAACGTAGCAGCTGTGGCCAATGTTCCCTGTACAAACAACTCTTGCTCATTAATAATGCAGAATCATAGTAGATCATTAAGTCCGAAGGTAAGTATTTGTTTCATTTTTTGGTTTTTTTTTTTTTTATTTGAGCAGCGTTGGTATACGGGTTGGAGTTCATTATTGGACTACGTAATCCCAAGACATTCTAGATTGTACAATTTACAAGTGAAAAATGATTGATGACAAGTTAAAATTGTGTTAAAACGAACACACTATAAAAAATTGTTAAATAACAATTAATTTTGAAAACAAAAATAATTATTTATTACAGTGAGTATTTTAAATATTAATTTATAAAAATTATTGATATTTAAAATAGTTTTCTTTATAAATAAAAATTATAATTGATTTATGAAATAGAGTTTAAATTAATTTCTAATTTTAAATAATTAGTCACTATAAATACTACTATATACACTCATTAGTAACTAAAATATTTGTAACTAAGGTTGGAAACTATAATTTAGATTATGATTTATAAACTGATTATGATTATATATTCATATTAATAATTATTTTAAATATTAATTTATAAAAATTATTGATATTTAAAATAGTTTTCTTTATAAATAAAAATTATAATTGATTTATGAAATAGAGTTTAAATTAATTTCTAATTTTAAATAATTAGTCACTATAAATACTACTATATACACTCATTAGTAACTAAAATATTTGTAACTAAGGTTGGAAACTATAATTTAGATTATGATTTATAAACTGATTATGATTATATATTCATATTAATAATTATTTTAAATATTAATTTATAAAAATTATTGATATTTAAAATAGTTTTCTTTATAAATAAAAATTATAATTGATTTATGAAATAGAGTTTAAATTAATTTCTAATTTTAAATAATTAGTCACTATAAATACTACTATATACACTCATTAGTAACTAAAATATTTGTAACTAAGGTTGGAAACTATAATTTAGATTATGATTTATAAACTGATTATGATTATATATTCATATTAATAATTATTTTAAATATTAATTTATAAAAATTATTGATATTTAAAATAGTTTTCTTTATAAATAAAAATTATAATTGATTTATGAAATAGAGTTTAAATTAATTTCTAATTTTAAATAATTAGTCACTATAAATACTACTATATACACTCATTAGTAACTAAAATATTTGTAACTAAGGTTGGAAACTATAATTTAGATTATGATTTATAAACTGATTATGATTATATATTCATATTAATAATTATTTTAAATATTAATTTATAAAAATTATTGATATTTAAAATAGTTTTCTTTATAAATAAAAATTATAATTGATTTATGAAATAGAGTTTAAATTAATTTCTAATTTTAAATAATTAGTCACTATAAATACTACTATATACACTCATTAGTAACTAAAATATTTGTAACTAAGGTTGGAAACTATAATTTAGATTATGATTTATAAACTGATTATGATTATATATTCATATTAATAATTATTTTAAATATTAATTTATAAAAATTATTGATATTTAAAATAGTTTTCTTTATAAATAAAAATTATAATTGATTTATGAAATAGAGTTTAAATTAATTTCTAATTTTAAATAATTAGTCACTATAAATACTACTATATACACTCATTAGTAACTAAAATATTTGTAACTAAGGTTGGAAACTATAATTTAGATTATGATTTATAAACTGATTATGATTATATATTCATATTAATAATTATTTTAAATATTAATTTATAAAAATTATTGATATTTAAAATAGTTTTCTTTATAAATAAAAATTATAATTGATTTATGAAATAGAGTTTAAATTAATTTCTAATTTTAAATAATTAGTCACTATAAATACTACTATATACACTCATTAGTAACTAAAATATTTGTAACTAAGGTTGGAAACTATAATTTAGATTATGATTTATAAACTGATTATGATTATATATTCATATTAATAATTATTTTAAATATTAATTTATAAAAATTATTGATATTTAAAATAGTTTTCTTTATAAATAAAAATTATAATTGATTTATGAAATAGAGTTTAAATTAATTTCTAATTTTAAATAATTAGTCACTATAAATACTACTATATACACTCATTAGTAACTAAAATATTTGTAACTAAGGTTGGAAACTATAATTTAGATTATGATTTATAAACTGATTATGATTATATATTCATATTAATAATTATTTTAAATATTAATTTATAAAAATTATTGATATTTAAAATAGTTTTCTTTATAAATAAAAATTATAATTGATTTATGAAATAGAGTTTAAATTAATTTCTAATTTTAAATAATTAGTCACTATAAATACTACTATATACACTCATTAGTAACTAAAATATTTGTAACTAAGGTTGGAAACTATAATTTAGATTATGATTTATAAACTGATTATGATTATATATTCATATTAATAATTATTTTAAATATTAATTTATAAAAATTATTGATATTTAAAATAGTTTTCTTTATAAATAAAAATTATAATTGATTTATGAAATAGAGTTTAAATTAATTTCTAATTTTAAATAATTAGTCACTATAAATACTACTATATACACTCATTAGTAACTAAAATATTTGTAACTAAGGTTGGAAACTATAATTTAGATTATGATTTATAAACTGATTATGATTATATATTCATATTAATAATTATTTTAAATATTAATTTATAAAAATTATTGATATTTAAAATAGTTTTCTTTATAAATAAAAATTATAATTGATTTATGAAATAGAGTTTAAATTAATTTCTAATTTTAAATAATTAGTCACTATAAATACTACTATATACACTCATTAGTAACTAAAATATTTGTAACTAAGGTTGGAAACTATAATTTAGATTATGATTTATAAACTGATTATGATTATATATTCATATTAATAATTATTTTAAATATTAATTTATAAAAATTATTGATATTTAAAATAGTTTTCTTTATAAATAAAAATTATAATTGATTTATGAAATAGAGTTTAAATTAATTTCTAATTTTAAATAATTAGTCACTATAAATACTACTATATACACTCATTAGTAACTAAAATATTTGTAACTAAGGTTGGAAACTATAATTTAGATTATGATTTATAAACTGATTATGATTATATATTCATATTAATAATTATTTTAAATATTAATTTATAAAAATTATTGATATTTAAAATAGTTTTCTTTATAAATAAAAATTATAATTGATTTATGAAATAGAGTTTAAATTAATTTCTAATTTTAAATAATTAGTCACTATAAATACTACTATATACACTCATTAGTAACTAAAATATTTGTAACTAAGGTTGGAAACTATAATTTAGATTATGATTTATAAACTGATTATGATTATATATTCATATTAATAATTATTTTAAATATTAATTTATAAAAATTATTGATATTTAAAATAGTTTTCTTTATAAATAAAAATTATAATTGATTTATGAAATAGAGTTTAAATTAATTTCTAATTTTAAATAATTAGTCACTATAAATACTACTATATACACTCATTAGTAACTAAAATATTTGTAACTAAGGTTGGAAACTATAATTTAGATTATGATTTATAAACTGATTATGATTATATATTCATATTAATAATTATTTTAAATATTAATAATTTTTACTTTATAAATTGATATCTAAATTAGTTATTATAAGAATTAATTAATTTTTGTTTGTAAAATTATGTACTTTTTAATAATTTATTTTTAATGATAATTTAAAACACTTTTTTTGAAGGTTAATTTTTATTTTTGGATAGTAAATTCAAAAAATACAATTCTAACTTTTAAAATGTAAATTTTAAAAGTTAAAAATGACTTTCTGATATCCCAATCTTAAAGCCTATTTTGACTTCTAAAAGTAAAAGTTCCCAAAAGAACACTTTTATATTATGTAATTTAAAACCCAAACTTTTCAAAACGTACTTTTTGATCGTATAATCTGAAAATAATTTTTTTGTAAATTAAATTCAAAGTAAATCTGCTATGCCTGTACTCTTCAGTTGCATTTCGTACTTGACAAAACTATTTCAAAATATGAATCATATATTATAAATACAATATATAATAATAACTCAAAATTTCTTTTATTTTATTTTTGAATTTTTTTATTACTTTGATTAATACATTGTTCTTATTTCTTTCTATAATTATTGAGGTAAGAAAAAAAAAAGGAATACGACAAATGGTTATAACAGAAAATAAAGAGAAAAATTAAAAGAAAAGTGCATTTATAATAGAAGGGATGTGTGTAAATAAGAAAATGTATTTAATATCATAATCATGAACGTAAAATATCCTCTCTCTTTTTCCCACAATAAAGGGCTTTACCTCTCCATTACTAAGAACTTGTTATTTATTCCTCGGGAATGTTTGGATATATTTAAGACGACATCAATTTAATATATGTTTTCCTTTAATAATTTATATGATATTGGTGTATATAAATTATAAAAAGTAGCAGCAATTTGAAGGTAATAATCTTACCGAGTATATTATTGTGATAAGTTGTAGATTCCACTCTAAAGTCCAAGTAATTTTTCTGCAATCTAAGCATATTCCGACTATTGCTGCTTGAATTGATGCTATAATGCACGTAAGCATCGTTCCCCAATATTTGAATGGAAATATTTCAAGCAACTTCACCTGTTTAGATTGAAGAACATTTAGTATTCAATTCTAATAAATGAAGAACATGAGCGAGCCATATATACATACTTGAACGATGAACCAAGCTGTGTATGAGAAGCAGCTACCAAGCAAAAAAAGAGTGCCACGAAGCATGTTGACTTTGGATGACTGAACTGATGTAGTGTGTGAATGATGGGTAGTTAGACCAATATAGAATTCCTTCCCTTTGTACAGACTAGTCGTTAATGCTCCCCCGACACACAAAGTTGCTCCTATTGTCTTCACTTTACTCGTCCATCTTCCAATCTCCACCCTCTCCATTCTGTCATGTATCACTCAGAATCCCGTTAATCAAACTTCTTACACCCCAGTTATTATTCACATGCAAGTTTATCAAATTCGAGAGTAGAGAGTTTACGTAAATTCGTGAGAGTCGAGTAAACTCAATTCGTAAATTCAACTCGTAAACTCGAAAAAGCTTATTTCAGATGAAAAAAAATTATATAAATAATATTTTAATTCAAATAAGTCTACAAAATTATATAACTTTAAATAAATAAAATTTATAGTTATATTGTTCACAATAATAAATATTGTAAAACATAAATACTTAGATTATAACTTTCAAGTTCGCAGAATTGTTTCAAACTTGCCATTCAACACGATTCTACCGATTTCACAGTCAATTCTATCGAGTTTATGCAGAAAACAAGTTTATTTCCAAATTAACTCGGAAGTCATGTCTAGGAATGTAAACTCGTAAGAGTTTACTGTTCATATGAATAGAAAGAAATACATGTATGTATATTCGGTTAGTTTATATACGTATATATACCTGCATATAATAGAGAAAATGAAAGTGGAGATAGGAACCAAGCTCAGAAAATTGACAGAGTAAGTAGCTGATGTATCTCGCAGACCATAATAGAACAGTCCCATAGCCAGTGTTATCCTGCAATCATACATATAGTTAAAAACTATAAGCATTATTCACTCTAGATCATAATTACAACATATAAATGTATTCAAATGGTTGCACAATAAAACGAAATGAGGATGTGTTTTGTTAAAATTGAAATAAAGCTCATAAAATTTGTTAAAATTAATCATATATGCAAAACAATTAAGAAAATATATTACCCATCCACTCTTATAATGTAAAATTTAATCTTCATATTTGTTTTTTTAAGAATTATTCTTGAACAATAGTATTTAGTATTTATTTCGAGAATGTTTTTAAGAATTATGTTCATTCTTGTATAATCAGTTATCTATCAAATCTTATATAATTAAATATTTAGTTTTGATTTTTAAAACTTTTTAATACATTTTTAAAAGTTAAACTTAAATTTTCTTTGGTTTAACGACAATTAAAAAAGTTATCAACCATATAATCAAATTATTTTATATTTTATTTTCTTAATGATATTAGTCTGGAGGAAAAAAATAAAATAATTACGTATTTTAGTTTTTTATTTAAAAAGTGGAAAGAAAATAGAGAGAACAAAGTTGAAATAAAAAAACTCAGAAAAGAAAAGAATATTTCACTTTATATCAAATTTCAAAATTTTCTTCCCCCCTTAAAATAAATGATAATGTCTAATATATATTTCATTCAATTTACCCTGTTTAAATTAAATTTTGATTATTTTAAAAAAATAATAAATTAACATCACAATATAAATTTTATATCACAAATATGTAGTTTATAATCAAGTTTATTTATTATAAATTTTTAATTATAATATAACTTATATACTAAACACATTTATCTATTATTAGTTTTAATTTTAATGATAAAAAGAAATATTTGTTCTATATTTCCAAAATCTAAAACATGATTTCTAAAAATCGTAAAATACATAAATTTTAAACCAGTTAGTATCTTATTTTTATTTTAATGAAGTGTTACGAACTAAATACTCTAATCCACATAAGTTCTTAACCAATCTTAATATTCTTTTCCTTTCTATATGAGAGCAATGATATTTATGAGCATTTAAAAGAACATATGAAAATAAAACCTTTTGTAAAGAAAGGTAAAAACAATGAATATAAGAAGATTATAAGATTGTAGAAAGCATAGTTGTTGATAGAAATATAACATTTTATGTGTGAATACAGCATTTTATTTTCTTTCTCAAAAAACTATGTGGATAGAAATATGCTCTATAAGGAAAAAAATGATGGATTATGTGCTCATAATTTTTTAAGGATTTATTATTTTAAAATAAATAGAAATAATTTAATAATTATATATCCACACATTTTTTTTATTTTCATGTATTAAAATAATCTACATACGTGCTCTTTTCTCTATTTCCTTTACCTGTTTAAAAACCCTAATTTCCACTAGTTACGTGACGTGGAAAAATAAAAAAACCTAATTATACGTGATGCATTGATTAGAAAAACTGAAAGCTGCTGATACCCAACTAATGACTTCAAGCAACTTAATTTGTAGATTTCTTTGGAAAATCTGTAGCTTATGTCATTTCGAAAATAAAGGTGTCTTCTCACCACACAGCCAAACCAATAAGGAACATAGCAGAAATTCATAATCACCATTAAGTTCATAATCACCTTATAAGTCAGTGTTGCACTATTTACTAGATTTAGGAGGTACGTGCCTAGTGTCACCTATCCCTCGACATCGATAAATGCAGGTTTGTTGTCATGTCAGATTTGACAAATTAAGTAGAAGGTTGTCTTGTTTTTTATTTTTCATTGTGTTTTGATTGTATTTCGTCTGTATTTTGAACTGCTACTAACATAAAATAAACTTCCAAAACAAATGGGGCACATTCAGGGACAATTTGCTGTTTGTATATATATGATAAGATATGTCTATATGTCTGTATGCAACAATGAATAAGCAAGACATACATCTCTACTGTATTTCAGAAAAAAGCTAAAATTTATTACAAATAATTTTTTTTAATTTCTTTGATTTACTGTAAAAGGAATTAGAGAATTTCCAGCCATCAAAATTGATTCTTGCTCGCAAAAATCAATTTTCCACAGACATCGATTTGCAAAAGTCAATAAGAGAAAGCTACATTCAATTATCTGTGCTATCCTTATAAAACTTGAAAAATCGAGTGTTAGAATCCAAATATCAAATTTTATAATGGACTATGCTATGAAATTAGGATATTTTAAGGTTAAATTTGTGCAGAAACTATAGATCAATAAAAAAATAATCATTGACCATAAATTAAGTTATGGACTGATGACAATTTTAAAAATAAAATCGTGAGAATTTCATACAAACTTTTCATAAAATTTTAAAAAATAAATAAATTAGAAGTCATGATAATTTCAATGTTAATATTAATTTTTGAAAAAATCAAATTATAAAAAAATAATGAAAATTATACTCTCTTTTTTTTGTAAATTTTTGAAGAAGTTGTGTGAAGTTTTTAAGATTTTTTTCTTTTAAAATTGTCATGAGTCTACGTGACTTAATTCGTGATAAATAATTGTTTTTGGACTTTTCTTAAAATTTGTGGACAAATTTGTTTCAAGTATGTGGAAAAAGCCATGAAATTATGTATGGACAGAAAGCTAGTTTTGATAGAAACTGGATAAGCTAATATCTCTACTCATCTGTCTTCACTTTTTATTCATTTTTTTTGTATTGAGTGTAGTCTGAAAATTGAAATAAGCAGATTAATGCGTACCCCACTAAGGCGTTAAGGAAGAGCCAGAACCAAATCGACCACCTCAACTTCTTTTGGCGGCCTCTGCAATCACAACACATATGATTCAATCCAAACAAAGAGAGTAAAGAGTGAGAAGAAAATGTGGAAGAAAGTTTATACATGCAGAAGAATATATAAGAACAAGATGAATGAAAGAAAAGCTTGATTATTGCCTTTCAAAGTAGAAAGCAAAAGGGGCAACACAAACAGCAGCAATAACGTGACGGTAGGCAATGAGTGCGAAAATGAAAGTGCCTTCAACAAGTATAACCCTCGATAGAATCTGCATCCCTGTTGCAAAAACTTGCACTAAAAACATGCTAAGCACAGTCTTCGACCCCTTCAACCATTCCTTAACAACTTTCATCTTCTATTCTATACTTCTCTCTGTCTCTTTGAATTGTCCCTTATCTAGAGAGAAAAGAATCAATCAAAAAATGTGGGCAGAAAAAGGGTTTTCTTTGGGTTGGCACAGGAATCAGGAACTGAAGTTTGTGTTATCTCTGATTAGCTCATGGAAAAGGGAAAAAGATGAACTAAAGAGAATCTAATATTGAGATCGCACACATGGTACAAAAAGCATAAGCATAAGTAAAAGTTGGAAAGTTTTGGAAGGTAGAGAATGATAACAGATGCCATACATTTCTTTTGCAGAAACTATACAGTGAGTTAGGAAACTCTCGTGTCAGCCATGTTTCTGGCTTCGTGTATCTTATACATGCATTATTAATTAAGTAGGGACATTTTTCAAGGCTATTTCACACATCACATGTTATGTATATATACAACAATATATAAATTATTGAGTAGAGATATATAGTTGTTACATGCTCACATAAATGTTCTTTTTTTTTATATGTTAGCGATTTACAATAGATCACACCTTTAGTTTCTGATTTTACATATATTAATAGTTTAATTTATCAGTTATATTAAGTAAATTTTAAATATATAATTGTATAATATTTCAAAGACAAAAATGATCTTTGTAATTATTTTATAATATTCGAACATAAAATAGTCTTTCGGAAAATATTTGTATTATAACAAAAAGAAAACAAGACCTATAAATAAATATATAAAATCATTTATAAGTGATCATTAAGTATATATTCTTTATTTAAATTTTAAATCAATTTGAAAATATATATAGAATGTTGTTTAAACAGGAAAAGAGAATAGAAATTAGAACCAGTAATGAAAAATAGTTGAGCCGTGATTTCGGGTTTGGTGCGAAAGAATAAATTTGAGAAGAGCGAGGGTTTAACTTAGAAGCTGTGGGTGCCTATAGAAAAACTTCAATTCTCTCCTAACACGTTTCTTCACTTTCATTCTTTCTACATTCTTATTCTCTTTTTGTTCATGGATAACAAACCAAAAATCCTCTATTAACCTCGAAACTAGTTAAGATGTAGTATAGAGCATCATTGTAGGGCTATATTAGAGTGAGTTCTCCAATTTTACTCTTTTCAATTTCTATTTCTCCAGGAAAAGTTCATGCATGTTAGACTTCTGAATATTTGATCTTGAGATTGAAGTTATTAAATTTGAACTTGAAATTGTTGAAATTAAAGTTATTAATTACTAACACTACAAAAAGCACAAGTATTATCGACGGTCAAGTGTCCCAACCAAGAGGAGGTGAATAGGTTTCTCTTGTAAAAATAAGTTTTTTAAAAATTTTTTTGAAATATTTTGATCTTTCTTGGAATGCAATCAATCAAGAATAAAAACAATACAAAAGAGATTCACACAATTGTTTATACTGGTTCAGCCTACTACCTATGTCTAGTCTTCTTTCAATCAACCTTAGATTGAAAAGATTCCACTATATTGATTGAGTTCTTACAAAGCAAGGCTTAAAGAGAACAATCCTCTCAATGTAATCTCCTTCCTAATTCCAAATCAACTATAGCAACCCAGAAAGAGCACTCTCTTTCTGTCACCATTAGAGATACCCCACTCTAAGTCAAAGAACTTCACAAAGTCCTCTTCATGTTCGTAGCAACAATCAGCCTTGATTGTAGATAACTCTGATATGGAAAAATACACTTGTGTGTGCATATATGATCAACCTATGACAACACTTCAATTCTTCAAGAATCTTTGAGAATTTCTTCCAAATGTGGTAATCTTCATTCTTGGAGAGTTTCAGGACGCTCCTACAATAATACCTCAATAAACAAATCAGATACTAAAGATATGAATCATAAAGTTGTTGAATACAGAGAGCAATGCGTCTATTTATAGATTTTATCAACATTGACACATATTAATCGATTACCCAATTAATGTAATTGGTTAAGCAATTCCTTTAGCATTAACATATTTACATTTCAGAGCATTTAACAGATTAAGAAGTGAATGTAATCGATTAAGCAATTTACATAAGCCACGGTATTTAAAAATAATACTGTTATGACAGTTATGGCTATTCATGAAAAAGGTTTTCATACAAAACGCATTTTAACTGATTAGGAAATTAATGTAATCGGTTAAGTTTCATACTTAAGCATTTTGAAAACTTTTTCAATTCAAAACACGTCAATGCACTCAGTAAACATGTGTAGGCATAACCACGAGTTTTAATCGATTATACCTATAATGTAATCGGCTAAAACTTGATGTTTTGCCACTATTAAGCATATATTGATATTTGATGAATTTTTACAGATTATGCAAACAGTATAATCGATTAATTCATACAAATATGCAATGTGCAAAGAGTTTTAAACAAAGATTCATTTGTAAACAATAAATACACATCACAGATAGTTAAAGCACATACACAGATAATTAAGCAACAATTTTGCCATTTTGTTATGCAAGAAACTATAAAACTTTTATTTTGTCATCATCAAAAACTCATATGTGAGATATGGGCTTAGCTACATAGCTCCCCCTATCAATAATCTCCCCCTTTTTGATGATGCTCAACAAGAAACTATTTTCCAGTTATTTCTCCCCCTTTGGGCATTAGCAAAAAAATGGCAATACAGTAACATGGAAGATAAAGTGATTTAGAAGATAAATCAAAAGAAATTCTTACAGACCATTTGAAAATTGTGATGCTCCCCCTATCATAATGCAATGTAGCACTTTAAACAGTATAAGCAATTATGATATTTATACCGGTTTAAATTAAAGCTTAAATATCAGATGAACACAGTATGACAATATAAAGATACATAAAAATCAGAGTATATAATGAGTTTAGCATAATGTATCATGATGCATACTATGCCATTTTCAAAATACTCAATATGATTATACAATAGATATGAAGCTCAGAGTATAATTGTATTATAAATGCATGATATATCTAATACAACATCAAAATGAATGTATAAGAGTAAATGATTCTAACACATTTTGTGCAAAGTTAAAAAATGATGCATATGTAATGATTTTCAAAACATTTTTGAATAATATGCAACACTTGATATCAAAGATATGCTTAGAATGTATATAATGACAATTATAACATGTTAAGTAGTATGTAGCAAAAAATATAAACATATTATGAAGCGATTTATAATCGATTACATTATGAAGCTAATCGATTAAGCTCTCTGCTAAGTGAATGTTAATCGATTTGTAATCAGTTAAATTTTGCGAGTGAGTTCAAATACACAAATATGATCATTAAAGCTTTCATGATCATTGTTAAACCTGCATAGTATAACTTTCTCAACAATGTTGAGTGTTAGTCCAGTAATAATCAATAATTGTGATGCAATTGTAATATCAAATGAGTATGAATGTGCAATGAAGAATATGATAGTGAAATATATCAGACTGCATCCATACAATTCATTATCATTCAATCATTCATAATCAGATTTCAACCAATCATCCAAACATTCATATAGAAAGCATTCAATGAATAAGCACTAGATATGAAATCAAAAGCAATATTTCATTCAATCGAGATAAAGATCAAAACAGAACCTAGTATCAGTGTTCAAAAGATAAAGGCCTTATTTACAATTATCCCATAAAAAAAATAGAACTTAATCTAATCTAATCAGATCATGTCCCTAAGTAGTATATTATTATCACTTTCATCCGAAACACTCTCTTCCTCATTCTTATCAGTATCAACCTTTTTCATTCTCATCACTATCATCATCTAAACTCTGAATCTCTAGCTTTCCTTTGATAGCAACAATGTCTTTGTTGATCTTGTCAAACTGAGAATTATAGAAGATTGTTTCTCTTACCAAGAGGGGGGCGGGGTTGAATTGGTAATCAGTAAAAATGCTTTCTTTTTTTGGAAACTATATATGATCTTTAAAAGCACACAATATAATTATTAAAATAATGCAGCAAAGAGATTAAGGATAGAAAACAAACACAATTTTTTTTATCTTAGTTCAGCCTCAATGCCTACATCCAGTCTCTTTCAATCAACCTTAGATTGAAAGACTTTTCACTATAAAGATTTTGAGTTTTTACAATAAGGAATTATAGCGACCCACTATCAAAATGTAAATCTTCTCTCTAACTCATACAAATCTAATATAGCTAACACACCCTACAGAAGAATAATCTTGTTCACTGCAGTAACCCTTTGAGACCCTTCTCAAAGTACTAAGAACACCAAGTTCTTCTTCCTGGCAACACACACAGGGAAACAACAATCTTCTTGATTGAAAAACAAATTTTGATCAGTAAAGAATACACCTGAATTGTGCAGAAGTGATAAGCCAATAGTCATTCAATGGTAGCTTACAAGAATTCTTCAAAATCTTCAAAACCTTTGAATCTTAATTCTTGGAGCACTAGGTGCACCTGCAATCTCTTTCGAAACTCTCTGATAATAGATATGAAAATTCTCAAAATGATCAAAGTGTCAAAAGATGTTAATACAGTGCGCAACTTGTTATTATATAGTTTTTCTCATATCAGACGCACTTTAATCGATTATGAAAATAATGTAATCGGTTACGCTTTATCAAAGTTATATCAAGATTACATTGCAACAAATTTAATTGGTTAAGTATTTAATGTAATCGATTGCATGTTAACAGTAAGTCAAAACATTTGAAAATATGATTGTTATTACAGTTATGACTTAGCTTGAAAACAGTTTTCAAATAATACCATACTTAATTGATTACGTAAACAGTGTAATCAGTTAAGTCCTACACTTAGACAATTTTGAAAATATTTTCTTCAAAAATACCTCACTACACATTTCAAAATGGTGTTCGCAAAGACACAATTTTTAATCGATTTTACAATTTATGTAATCGATTGAAACTTGTGTAGTTTGCCACAGTTTTAAGCATAAGCTATTTGATGAACTTAATTGATTACTAAACCAATGTAATGAATTACTTCATTCATATTTTCTTTGTGCAAGTGGTTTTAACATATGAACACATGAAAATGCATACAATAGATGTAAACACATTTATGATCATAGTGAGTATGCAGAACAATCAGTTTAGCAACTTATGTATAAAACATAAAGACACATTTTTGTTGTTGTCACAGTAACATATATGTGTTGTCATCATCAAAAACCAAACACATGGGATTTGGAATTAGAATTCACATTGCTCCCCTATCAACAATGTACTTTTCAAACTCAGATTTAGGCTTGAAGGAGGCAGTTGATGATCCTGTAGGTGCTTCTTCTTTTGCATCTTGATTTTCATCTTTAAATGTCCACCCATCTGGCCCATGCTAAAGACTCATGTGATGCAAGGAAATTTTGTCAATGATGTTTCTTTTGCTATAAGTTTCACATGATTCTT